GTTGTTGTTGTTGTTGTTGTTATTTCCCACCTTTCTGCTTATTAAAGTGCACCAGGCAGTTTACAATAGCATGACGTAGAAAATATTAAAGAAACATTGTCAAGAAATCAGCAAAAAGTCAAATCAAAATTTAAATTAATACTAGTTGATAACCTGGCATTGTCCATGTATTTATTTATAGGGGGGAAATGCCTGGACCAAATGTATTTTCTAATGTTGGATTTTCCCCCTTACCAGAGGGAGCTCCCTTGTGGAGTACTGTGAAGCCGGTACCATGGCAACTCCACCGTGCTGTACAGTAGAAGCCATTTTACAGCAATACAGTAGAAGCCATTTTAAGGCACAACAGGCCAAAATGAGCAAAGCATTTAATTTATGTTCACATTTCCTCTGAGTGGCTCACAATTCACCATCTGTCCTTTTACCTTCACAATACCTCCATGAGGTTAAATGATGGTTAGTAACTGGTCAACCAGTGGTAGACCAGGAAGTTGATTCCACATGATGACTACAACTATATTTTATTGTGATAGTCTGTAGTAACAGATTCTTGCATATTTGCCCCTCGTCTTCTCTCTTCCTATCCTTTGTACCATAGGGCAGCATCTTTCAACTGTGTCAATTTGAAAATGTGTAGTCTTCAACTCCCAGAATTCCCCAGACACCATGTTGTGAGTTGGAGACCGTACATTGAGAGCTGCTCAGGGAGAGAAATGATGCTTAGGGAGTGGCGGTACAGTCCAAATTTTGAACACATGACCATGGGGGTTCTACAACAGTCATATGTGTGAAAATGGTCACAAGTCATTTTTTGAGTGATGTTGTAATTTTGAACGGTCACTAAATGAATGATTGCCCAAGCCATTTACAGAGTCAGCATATTGCCCCCAATAATCTGGGTCCTCCTTTTACCGAGCTCGGAAGGATGGAAGGCTGAGTCAACTTTGAGCTGGTCAGGATCGAACTGCTAACAATTGACAGAATTCGCCTACAATACCGCATTTGTGTTACTAACTGAACAATGCAGTGATTCACTTAATAACTGTGGCAAGAAGGTCTCAAAATGGGGCAAAACCCACTTAACAACTGTCTTGCTTAGCAACAGAAATTTTGGGGTCAATTTTGGTCATATGTCAAGAAGTAACTGTCATCTTAATTAAAAACCCTTAAAGCAGGTATCAGTATTCTGAGTAATGCATCTGCCAAAAGCAGAACTCCGAGGCAGGTAGATTCCTCAAAGAACATGTTTATTAGATACATCATATCGACACAGCTACTGAAAACGAACTCCAAAAATTCCTGCAGTTTTAGACTAATTTAAAGAACAAATAGTTCCCTCCCCAAATGTCACCGGTTACATTGTAAGTAGCTGAGAGGCTGGGATGACCTTGGTTCCTACAAGAATTTTTTTTTGTTTTGACTGTTACCCAGTCTATCTACTTCCCCCTCCCTTCCCCCTCTCAGAGTTCGTGGCAACTATGAGACAGCATAAGATGGCTTCAGCCAGGTTCGCTTCAGAGTTGACAGCAGGAGGAAAAGAGGTTAAACCACAATATTCTATCTACCTCGCAATGCAACAACGACAACTGAGGAAGCCCAGATGGCTTTGAATATGCAGCTGCAAACGATAAAAAAAAAAAACACCTCTCCAAACCTGTGAAATGGAGCTCAGAGAGAGAACCTCCCACCTTCTTAGCGGCTTATTGTGGGTGCCTGTTCACAGCTTGCGAACTTCCTAATTGCATGTTTGGAAAGTGCCAATGTTCACCTCTTTAGAAGAAACATACCATTCACCTTGTCTCAACATCTTAATTCAAGACTTCTAGCTTTCCCTCCTACTTCGCTGATTTCTCTTCTTCTTCTTTACTCTTTTTTTTTTCACTTTTTTTTTTCAAAGGGAGAGTGGTGTAGATTCTATTGTTTATTTTTAGCAAAAAAAAAAAAAGGGCTGAAGACTGAATGATTTATTTTGGATCCATCTGTGAAAAGCTTTCGTTCAGAGACTGAAGGTGAGATGTGAAAGAATGCAGGGGGTGGGAACAGAAGTCTTGAAAGCCTCCATTTAAGTCTAAAAAGCTTGTGTATAGAAGTGTTTATGGATGTGGTCAGTGATGGGTTTCAAAAATTGTTCGAACCTACTCTGTGGGTGTGGCCT